AAGGGGTAAAATTCCTGTAGCGTACTAAGTGAAAAAAAGTTAATCGGATCGGGCTGTAACTTGCACATAGTTTCGCCCTAGGGATAAGTACTTTAACCACGAAGTATTGTTAGGTTTTTTCAAAAACTGGCGAAGAGGGAGGGGATTCAATTTTTTTGAAAAATTTAAACAGTGAATATTTAAAGACTTGTAACTTTTAAATAGAAAGATGAAAAAAAATTTCAAACTATATGTTTTCGAAAGGTTGAGATATTAATTAATTGATTAATTACACGGAGAGAAATCTGCTGCGATTTTTGCTTGTGCAGTCTTTATTAATTTCATAAGTCATTTTTCGATACAATTTTAGCTTAAGACTGGAATAATTTAAATATGAATTCATGTATTTAATGTAATGGAGTGTATCAAACAAAAAACACAATTCATGGGTGTTAATTTTGCATGAATTTCACATAAAAACTGCAAAGGGGAAATGCCATAAAAGTATTAGATCCTCTCTTATAAAATTTGCAAGAATGCCATCTGATTTTCAGGTGGAATTTATACAACACAATCTTACCTCCGTATACACACAGAATTTCACACACAAATATTATATGCTGCGTTGATTCCGAGGAACGGCGCAGAATCTATGCGCGCTACGGAGTTCGTGTTCCTTATATTCAACGTTCAAGTGATAAAAAAATATGCTCGTTTATTTTCGTCATCTAAAGTTTATAAAATAACAGTATTATGTATAACTTTAAGAATTTATTTTAAAAAAATTTTTAAATAAAATTATTTTAAATTTCGCGTTTAAAAACGCATAGTAAAACACGGGCGTGCGCATTGTGCGTTCCGTTTCTCAGAATCACCAGCATACAATGATTGTGTGTGTGAAATGCTGTGTGTATACGGAGGTAAGATTGTGTTGTATAAATTCCACCTGAAAATCAGATGGCATTCTTGCAAATTTTATAAGAGAGGATCTAATACTTTTATGTCATGTCCCCTTTGCAGTTTTTATGTGAAATTCATGCAAAATTAACACCCGTGACTTGTGTTTTTTGCTTAGAAACTATTTTTACAATAAATACTTGAATTTATGCTAAAAATTCAAGTGTCGTGCCATGTAATTAAAGTAATTTACTCATCCAAGCAAAAATCGCAGCAGATTTCTCTCCGTGTAACGTTAAAAAAATAAAATATTTCACAAATAAATAAAGTTATTGCATGCATGAAGCTACCAATTGAAAGCTGACGTAATTTCGCATCCAACGTTCCCTAAATAAACTATTTTGGATTAGAGGACTTTTTATAAATAATTACAATGTTGTCCAATTGTTTATTGACAATACACTAATCCAAAGTACTTCATATAGGGCTCGTTGGATGTGAAATTAGGTCAACTTTCTTTTAGTAACGTCAAAATTACGATAACTTTATTTGTTTATAAAATATATCATTTTTTATTAAGATTAAATAATTAATTAACTAAAATCTCGAAAATAACAAAAAAGAACATCTCATTATTTTTTGTGGTAAAAATTAACATTTTTAACTTTAAAAAAAAAATTTTTAAAAACTGAACTTAAATTTTTTTTTAAAAATTATAGATTTTTAAAAGAAGAGTCAAATTTTAAATTAAAAATTTTTTTTTCACCAATCGAAAGAGCACAAAAAAACATTTGGAAAACTTATATGTCAAATTTTTTTTCATCTACTTATATTATATTTACAATTTTTAGTTAATTAATTAACTATTATGGTTAATAAAAAATGATATATTTCATAAAGAAATAAAGTTATTGTCATTCTGACGTTACTAATTGAAAGTTTTTTTATTAATATTAATTAATCAATTAATTAATTAATATCTGGAAAATAACAAAAAAGGACATCTCAATACTTTTTGTGGTGAAAATACACATTTTTAACTTTGAAAAAAAATAAATAAAAAAAAGACCTAACTTAAAAAAAATCAATTTTTTTTCATCTTTCTGTTTAAAAGTTACAAGTCTTCAAAAATTCACTGTTTAAATTTTTCAAAAAAATTTAATTCCTCCCTCTCCGACAGTTTTTGAAAAAACCTAACAATGCGTCATGGTTAAATGACTTACACCTAGGACTAAACTATGTGTAAGTTAGTACTTAGTACGCTACAGGAATTTTACCCCAAAAATAAAAAAAATGAATCGAGTTCCAGGAATATAAAATTAATACAAAGATCAAATGAAATACATTAATCACTCAATTGTTTAACCATTTATCGAACTATTGGCGCTTAGATCGGTGTTAGGTCACAGGGACGAACTATTGACCTTTTTCCCTAATCCCTAGGATATTTGATCATTTATTTCTCCAAACAAAGTCAAAAAATATTTTTTTCGTCACAATATTAGTTTTAGTACAATAATTTAATCACCCTGCAATTTATCACTGAGTCATTGTAAGTAGTATTTCTTTTCTAAATTAGCCATAAAAGTTTTCCATCTAGGACGTTCTTATAATTCCATAAAGCACCAGAAGGTTCTATATGAAAAAAAATCAAATTCCATTTTCAAGCTTCTGAGCGGCTATATGGAATACCGTATCATGCTATCCAACTTTTATTACTGAGTACTAATTTTTTTTCTGGGTTAAAAATTGTAGAAGTTAAGCTGAGGGGACAGAGTAAAAAATAGGGGGGAGGGCTTAAATGCTCTTAAGTTTGCTTTAACTTTTATTTCTTCCCTTTATATCTCAATACTATGATATGCAAACATGTTTGCTATATTTTTTCTGAAATATAAATGTAATTATACATATGCATACCAATTTTCAGCTTACTAGGTCCAAAAGTGTAAAATTTGAGGGGAGCTAAAATGCTTTACTTCAACATTTTTCAAAAAAAATTTACTTCTTTCCTCAATAACTTGTAACCATGAACTTTAATCGTTTTTGCTATATTTTTCCAGTAATCTACACGTAAAAATACATGTCTTTACTATTTTGTATTTTCTCAGGTCTAAATTTGTTGAAGTTAAGGGGGGGAAAGGTGATTTTTTGGAATTTTTTCGAAAAAAAATTAAATTCTTTTCTTTCTAACTTTTAACTGTGACCTCCAATTGTATTGAATATACTTTTCTTGTAATCTACATGTAATAATACCTATATGTACTAAGTTATAGCTCTCTATGCCGAAAATTGTAGAAGTTAAGAGGGGGAAAATTATCATTTTTCAGTATTTTTCTTTTCCAAAAACATTTGACTTATTTCATTTGTAACATATGACCGTGACCTAAAATAGTGTTCGCTCTATTTTTCCTGCAACCTACACGTAAAAATGTGTATGTGTACTAAGTTTAAGCTTTGTATGTTGAATATTGTGGTGGCTAGGGGGATGTGAATGGTCACTTTGAGGCATTTTTGGTAAAAAAAAATCATGTTTTTACCTTGACAACAATATGAACATGAACTCTAATCATGTTGGCTATATATTATGTGTGTACCAAATTTCAGCTTTCTATGTCAAATACTGCATACTTGGGGTATTTGGGGTCAATGTTTAGGAATATGATACCAGATTTGGAACATTTTTAAAATTCAAAATGGTACACTAGAATCCATGAATGCCTTGTGCTTAAAGACACTACTCAATAAGCGTAGTAAAAATTGCGCATGATAATATTTTTGATGATCTAATAGTAAATTCATTCTGTTTCATTTGTCAGAAATTTATTTTAGAAAAAAGTCTTAGTTTGCCTTTGAGCAATTTACTATATAGGATTTTATGTTATGGTAATTTATTATATTCAGTAGAAATTAGCATTTTAATTTTATTTTACTTTATAGGCTTGTATAGAATTTTGTGTTCTTTTATATTACAAACTGTAAAATTTTCCCATTCAAAATAAATGAATATTCTGCAATTTGAGGTTATAATTTAAATATCTGATTCTTAATTAGACAAACATAGTTTTGATATTTTTTCTAACCAGTTACAATGTTTTTACTATTTTTTTTATTTCTCTGGCAAAAATTAATATTTTTAAACGTTCTTAGGCTCATTGAAATCGTATTTTGTTATGCAATTCAAATTATATAAAACAATTCATGTACACATTCTCCCCTAGCGTATGCAAACCGTGAAAGTTGGCTCATAAAATGTCAAAAAATTTAAATTTAATTCTACAATAAAATATAATGTTTAAAAATCAAGTAAATATATCATTCTAAACTTCTCTGATTTATGTAAGTAAATTTAAGATTTATACATTTTACTGATCATTTTTTGTCATATAAATATTAATCACAATTTTTTGACATTTTATGAGCCAACTTTCACGGTTTGCATACGCTAGGGAAGAATGTGTACATGAATTGTTTTATATAATTTGAATTGCATAACAAAATACGATTTCAATGAGCCTAAGAACCTTTAAAAATATTAATTTTTGCCAGAGAAATAAAAAAAATAGTAAAAACATTGAAAATTGGGTTTTTCTTAGATATCTAATTGAAAAATTAACATATTCTCTTTGTCAAGGTGTCATTTCTTTCAGAATTTTATTAACTTTAATAAAATAAAGAGAAAAAAATTTTAATTTTAATATTTTTGAAAATTTGAACAGTTTTATAGTTGTTGAAAAAGCAGAGTTCGCACAATTTCGGACGGTAGTGTATAAGTTTTTATTTAAAAATAATAAATGCAGTTGCTGTAAATCTTATTCAAATTTTCGTGCCATGTAAGTCTTATTGAAAGTTCAGTGCTATATTATTCTTATTCAATACAATTATTGTATTGCACGGAAACTTGAATAAGAATTATATAGCACTGAACTTTCAATAAGACTTATATGGCACGAAAATTTGAATAAGATTTATATTGCATTGCAGTTTCAATAAGCATTATATGAACGGGAGGCGTCGATATGTACTTAAGTAAAAAATAATAAATGAACATTACTAATGAATAAGAACAAGAAAATAAATATTTATTTCCTTACACTTAACTAAAAAATATGAGAATAATTACGTACCCAAAAGTTTGAAATTCAGTATCTAAATAAGATAATAGGTCTTTCTGAAAGTCTGTTTTAATTACAACTCCATCGACGCTTGGTCCAAAGGCACTTAAAAAAGTTGGTGCTTCTACTTGTACATGAAGTAATTCTTGAAGGTTTTTTTCTCTCAGACAATCTACTATAAGTTCATTATCCTTTAACAGATCATCTGGAATTGAGCAGTTAATGGACGTGGCTAATTTTACAGCATAGGTCACAGGATCTTCTACTAATGACCAAGATGATAAAGCACTGCCGGATAAAAGAATAGCTCTTTTAAAGAGTCCTATAAATAAATAAACGGCATTATCAATATTTACATAACATATCACAGCATCTTTGATCTATAGAAAGTTATGATTACATTATATCACTGATAACAAACGTGCCTTGCAAGTATTCGGACTGATGGGCTTCGAACGACTTATATGCAGGTTACGCGCCAGATAGTTTTTAGATGACTATTGGGTTTACAATAGGCCCCGGTGGGCCATATGCAATTTTAATTGACAGTGTTTTGTATATGAAATTTTTTGTGGTTTTTAGGATTCTCTTACCACCTACAAAAATTTTAGGACCAAAAACGTAATTATCCACTAAGCGCTTTTAAAGAAAATAGATTTTTACTATTGTTATAATCAGCAAATATATATATATATATATATATATATATATATATATATATATATCCCCAGCTGTATTGCTTCATATTCGACACGAGCTGCAAAACGTTTTAGCGATTCAGTCTTATTCCTACCTTGTAACTGTATAATAATAATAATAATAAATTGTCATTCGTAGAAGTGATATAAAAGTGTAGTGAGTCTATTTTTATTAACTAGATCGTAACACTATTTAAATTTTGCAAACTTTGAATCTCTTTGAACAATTACAGTTAATTTTCTTTAAAAACTTTAGAAAAGTATTTTAAAAATTATTTTTTGTCAAATATATTCGATCTTTATAGAAAAAAAGGTTTACGTATTTTTTTATTTTTGTATAAGTGTTCAAATTTTCAAGTAATGAATTTTTAAAAATTTGATTTTTTCGAGTTTTTTAAAAATACATCAAATTTCAATGACATATACCTCTTAAAGTATTGAATTTAGGAATTATGACCAAGATACAGAAAATTTTCAGTTTTTTATCGACTTTCAAAAAATATTAACGGAAAAAAATTTGAATTAGTTTATAAAAAATAACAGTTTTTTATAAACCCGGTGAGCTTGGACTAAGTTTAACCGAAAGTACTAGCCCATCTCGGCTTTCTTGAGATATTAATTCCACATTAATTTCTGAGTAATTTAAACATAAGATAAAAAAATTGGTAGAGGGATTTTCGAATAAAGTCGATTTTTGTGTATTTTTAACTTTTTATATCACATTTTTTAATTTGAAACAGTTGAATATTAATCAATTCGATTTTTAGTTAATGTAGTCATGAATAAATTCTTTTTGAAGTTGGCGAGTATTCAATTTAGAAGTGTCAAATTTAATACTTGCAGTTATTTGTTAATAACATTGTTTAATTTTATTACAGCTTGCTCAAAAATGTCAAAAGCTAGAATTCATGAAGAAAATCGTTACTGTATTTGCCTTTTTTGTTTCGGAAAAACATCAGTAGTGATTCCTATTAAAGGTGCAATAAATGATTTTTCATGACTAAATTATTTGTCTACTTTTGCTTCCTCGTGGAGGAAGCTATGTAGTCCTTTCGTTTATAAACTTTTTAAAAATGGTGAAAACAAATTTTCCTCTATATAGAAACATGTTATATGAGATCCTGATCAATTGTCCGGATGTATGTATGTGTGTGTATGTGTGTGTGTGTATGTGTGTGTGGATAGTTTTTGTGAACACGATGTCTTTAACAGGTTTTAATGGATTTGGGTAAAATTTGGTAGGCTTATTTAACACATTAATCTCTCAAAAATGACGAGAGGATTTTTAAAAATACCCCAAACAAAAAATTTTATCCTCTTTTTTCCAAAAATTTTTTTTTAATTGAAAAAATTTTTAAATCGAAAAATTTAAGGTAATATATAATATAATCGTCTTCTTTATGTCAAGATAAATCGATTGATATATATAAAGTATAGATTTGATTGAAATTTAAAGAATTAATGAAAGTTAAAAAATCAAAAATTCTCATTTTAGCTAAAAAATGATGTGTTTATTTAAATTCAAGTTTATATATGAAATAATTTTATTCCTTGCATTGAAACAAATCAATTAGTATATAGAAAGTATACATTTGAATAAAATTAAAAAAATTAATTAAATTTAAGAAATAAAAAATTTACGTCTTAGCTAAAAAATTGTGTTTTTATTTAAATTCAAGTTTAAACATAAAATAATTGTATTCCTTGCATTGAAACGAATCGACTGGTATGTATAAAGTATACATTTGCGTTAAATTAAAACAATTAATGAAAGTTAAAAAATAAAAAATTTACATTTTAACAAAGAAATTTTGTGTTTATTTAAATTCATGTTCAAATATAAAATAATTGTATTCCTTGCATTAAAACGAATTTAAACAAACATAATTTTTTATGTATATTAATTTCAGTGTTAATGCTTCCTCCATGAGGAAGCAAATTTTTTGCATCATATAATGAGGAAGCAAAATGTTCATGAAATGAACATAAAGGACACACTACTTGTTTTGTCATGTTCTTCGAATGCTTTCACGATATGATAATAATTTAACCTGCAAGTATTAGATTTTTACCCCCACCCCTTTCTTAGTTACAAAGTGTTAAAAGTTTTCACCTTATAATTTTACGCATTCAACAATTGTAAATACTATTGACATATTTAACTTTTCGATCTGCTGAGTTTCTATACAATAAAGTCACATTGAATTAATTACAACTTTTTTTTATTGCCTTCGCCACAAATGCGTATTCTTTTTCTTTGACTCTGTATCCGCTAAATAAATCAACAATATTCAACACAAAGGGTTTAATATTCAACCCTCCCGTAATATATTTTTTGTTAATTAAAAATTGTTTAATAACTTTAGAATATTATTAAAGGGCATGAAAAATTCTTTCGGAATTGGATATTTTGAATTGAGTTTGTGTTTAACCTTTTGCGGACATTTCTGAATGTTTTCTGCTGTGGTTGATATGTATGTATAATTTTTAGGGTCGCTGATTATGAATCTGAAGTCAGATTTCAAAAATTGTCAAAATTTAAACTTTCGTTTTTCTTGAAATGACATTTTTGAAGTCCGTGTTCACGATATCTCAAAATCTACTGAACCAATCGTTCTGAAATTTGTCACAGTTCTTCTTGACTTAATCCCTCAGGCAACTACGAGAGGTTTTTTTTAATAATTATTAATTATACTGTAAAAAATAGATCGATTTTTTCAACGAAAATCGAGTTTTTGGGTTTCAAGTGCTGCGAAAAATAAAAAAGAAACCCTCTCGTAGTTACCTCGAAAAACATCTCTTTTAACAAAAAAAATTTTTTTTTTATTGTTGGTTTGTCTTACTAAATGGTAGAGCAAGAGAGGATAATCCTGCCCAATTCACTTATTTCAGTTGGTAAATTAACCATAGCGTGTGAGAAATCTAGTAGTTCACTGTAATGTTACGTCTTCTGACCATTTCCCGGTATGAATTGACAGAACAATATTCAAGTTCAATGTTTAATTCGCCAAGAGAGTATGAAAAGTAAAAAGTAAAAATGTTAAACTTATGTCAAAAACCTTGGTTCGACAAAGAATGTGTAAATTGGAAAAATATTCTAAAAGATTCCTTAAAAAATGTAGAAACGATAAATTCTCTTCATCAGAAATGATTGAAAAACATATTGAAATAAAAAAATATATATAAGTTCAAAAACTTAAAAAAAGAAGAATATAATAATTCATTAATAAATCAACGTTCCATTGTAAGAGCCTCCTCTAATTTCTGGAAGATTGTAAACAAATACAGATATAAGTATAATATAGAGGATACAATTGACCTGAATGATTGGTTCAGGTACTTTCAATCGTTATCCTTGAACTCTTTTGCTCCTGGGATGCCAGAATGTAACCCGTTTATGAACGAACAATTTATTTTAGTGGGATAGAATTAAAGATGAGTCTAAGAAGGTGCAAGGAGGGTAAGTCCCCGGGTTCAGACGGAGTCACAAATGAATTTTACAAAGGTTTACCTGACAATTGGATTAATTATATGTTGATATCCTTCTTATTACACTGTGCGACAGCCGAATAACACAGTTTATCGGACCTACAAGAGGTTGTGTAACAAAAAACTAAGAAGAATCGTATATTAAAAATTTCCCTAACACCCCCAAATTTTGATTTTACAGCCAAAAAACCGTTGTCACGTATATTTATGAATAAAACCCATGTGACTTTTTTATTTTTGCACTGATTTATAAGTTTTTTTTATTTTCAAGCTGACAAACAGGGCTTTTCAACCCACATAGAGTTTTTTTGTTAAAAGTAATATTTTCAAGAGGAAAGTTCCAAGAAAGTGTGGAAATTGTCAGTTTTTCCTCAATTTTACAACTGTAACTGATGTTTACCGCATTAATTATGTTTTCAACATTTTTTTCTTCATGTAATATTCAAGCGTACTAAATTGTGCGTCGAACGAGCCCTATTTGAATTATTATATATGTTGTAATTTCATTTATAAGGCTAGCTACGTTTTTCTTATATGTAAAATAAAATTAATATTGACAGAAAAATTTATTGTTAGAAAGACCAAGATACAAAAAAATGGTCAAAACTTCAGAAGCACTTTACATAAAACAATTAAGAATAAAAATTAAGGAAAACTGACAAATATTTAAATTTGCTACTGATCTTGCAAATAGAAAAAAAATTTTTGACAAAGACCAAGATACAAAAAAATAGTAAAAACTTCAGAATCACTTTACATAACAATGGATTCTTCTTTTTTTAAGTTTTTGAACTTATATATATTTTTTTATTTCAATATGTTTTTCAATAATTTTTGATAAAGAGCATTTATCGTTTCTACATTTTTTAAGGAATCTTTTAAAATATTTTTCCAATTTACACATTCTTTGTCGAACAAAGGTTTTGACATAAGTTTAACATTTTTACTTTTTACTTTATATACTTTCTTGGCGAATTAAACATTAAACTTGTATATTGTTCTATCAATTCAACTTTCCATTTTAATTGCGCGAATTCCTTTTTATTTATTTTTTCCACATTCTCTCCCATTAATTTTAATGATCACAGAAAAAACCTGAATTCAAATTGAGTATAGATTCTATACTCAATTTGAT